GTGGGGGATGGGATCACGCGCTGGGCCACAAGGTGGCTTACGGTCGCTTGTGGCGTTGCGGAGACCAAGCAAAGCGCGCCATCGAGGCATTCCGTGTGGAGTGTTCTTGAGAGAGAAGGTGAGGCGGACGCAGGCCTCCCTGGGACGGTTGGCGTCCAAGGGAGGCCATGGGCTAACTACAAAACCTCCGTGGCCGGAGCCGATGGAGGAGAGATTGGATGGTGAGATGGGCCAACGCCAACTCTCCTCCCACCGTGACGATGAAGTCCAGGTCACCAAAACACACGTGTGCGCCCGGGACCCAGCCGATTGCGTGGTTAGCCATCCGAGGCCTGATTTGGAACACGCAAAGGCCCCTACCTGGTGAGCCAACTGTCGGTGTTTCGAACAAACACTGGCTAGTAAATTTGTAATTATTGCACGTTAGGCCTGGATGGTGCGCTAAAGGACACGAGGTTTATCTTTGGTTGGGCCAAATGCCCCTCGTCGATCTGTCTGTTGCTTGCTCGTGTTATTAGCACCAAAAAATGGTTCGTAGTAGAAGTACGAAGCGATCGAGAGAGGGGCCTGGTCCCAAGTCTACGATGGAATGGTCGAAAGGATGCGAGAGCCCGATAGCAGCTCTGCTGTGTGTGATGTGTGCTGTCGAATCATGTCGATCGATCTCAATGTGAGTTGATCCCTCCCCTTAGTGGGGTGCCCCACCCTCCCTTTTATAGACCAAGGGGAGGAGGGGTTACATGTTGGAGAAAGGAGAAAAAAACAGAGGCCAAGGAGCCCCTCCGAAGGTGTTGGGTCCTCCTTTTCCCTTGAGCAGCCCCCCGACATGGCGAGACGGTGCGGGGATGAGCACGTTAGCGGATCTGTGTCTTGTGACGCCATGCCCTTACCGGATCAGCAAGTGGTCACGTCCGTCCGCCCCTTCGGGCGGCGCGTGTCGGACAAGGGTGTTGACACAGCCACAACGTGGGGAGCGGACGGCGTGGTGGTATCGTTAAATCCTTTGTAGAGGCGCGAGTCTCTTCTTGGACCGTAGTGGTTGTCGTATGTCTATGTCAGGTTCCGTGTCCGAGGGCTGAAGGCGGCACCTACAACACTATTCGGACTCTGCCATGCCGGAATGGTCTAAAGCACCCATCCCGTCGTACCTGGCGGTACTTTCACGCCGCGATACAGGGCATGGTCCTGGTGTTGCGTTTGACTTCGAATGTCATGTCGTACCTGTGCTCATCATTATGAAAGCGCGCGAGGTGTACTTTCGTCGAGGCGGGCGAGTTTGCCCTCGATGCGTCGGGCAAAGCGGAGCTCGTCCTCGGCCGTCAGGCGAGTGGGACCTGCCCTCGGGCGTCGGACGAGGCGGAGCCCGCCCGAAAGTCGGACGCGAGCAGCAGCCCTGAGCCGTCGGGTGGCGGAACCGCCCTCGGACGTCCAGGCGGCGAGCCTGCCCTCGGTCGTCAGGCGTGCGGAGCCGGCCCTCGAGGTCGAGGCGGCGGAACCCGGTCTTCCGTCGTTCGGACAAGAAGCGCAGCATGACGTTCTCGTCTGATCGGAAGTATCAACGTTCGATGGTCATTGGTTCCACCTCATTTGGTACCCCGGTATTAGGGTCCCGACACTTTCAGCACGACTCTTGTATCCGTAGTGAATCTAATTTTATGTACAAAGGTTGTACACAACCAATCTCGATAAGCGCCATTCATGCTACTTAGATATGCCTCTTTGTCCTCCTTTGGGCATCGAATGAGAATACGGTGGAGACTGATTGAGCCGCAGTCAAGTATTGGTTGACAATATACTTTGTCACCGATTCGAACTTATACTTTACGTACATATATCCTCCCCAGTCCAACTTTTTTATCGCATAAAGGATTTTCATTTGGTTTGGATTTACAACCATCCAACAGTTGTTCCCCCAAACCTCCTGCACAATGTTAAACATACAATGGGAGACCATTAACTGAAATGATGTCCTGGTAACCAAGAAACTATGTTTGTCCACATAGAAGAAATGTGATTATTACATAGAGTTCATAGCTTATTTCCAACTACTAGTACAACGATCGAGAAGTAATATGGATTTTATAGTTCCATATTATTCACATCACAGCTAAGCCAACCAACAAAAGTCCCCATGTTTAAAACAGATCCTTGCTCTCTGGCGATACTCTTTCAAATTCCTTGAGCATTCTTGATGCATCTAAAGCAGAATTCCTATTTCCTTTGAACTTTCCCTTTGAGGCCATTTGTAGATTTCTTGCATAGAGTAGAACATGTTTGATAAAGTGCATGTCATTTGGAGAGCATGAGATACTTTTCATATGTAGACGTTCCAGATTTTTCACCAAACTACAATTCGACAATGCGCTGAGAAAGTTTTCAGCAAATGCATCCACTTCCCTATTGATTTCATGTCGAGAATTGTCCTGTATGCAAAAAGTTTTAATGGACAACAGATCAATATATTTTGATGAACTTTACATACAATATCACTGAGTGGTGATAAGATAGTATGAACACTCAACAAGATATTACCATACCGTAATTTCAAGAACCTGAAGGAAGGGAGCTTGATGAAGCAGAGAAATAGTTGATAGCACAGTTGAAGCTTCATAAAATGTGTATGAAGTTTCAAAACCTTAGATTCTCAAATATGCATGAAAGAGCTAGCTGTACAGTAAGTCCATTGACCTGTAGAGAATAAATAGTTTTTTAGTTTGTAACACATATGCTGCACATTATCAAAGACTATGTGGTATCAGATTCTAAAGTAACATTATATGAGATATAAATATCACAGTTACTGCATAAGCGAAAATCTGAGATGTAATAGATTGGTATGGCGCAGCTTCGATCAGTTGTTCTTGGATTAATTCTTCTGTGGACATCATGGAAGAAACATGTGTAGCTCAATATACACACAAACTTATAAAAGAGGGACCAACATCTTGAATTGCATGCAATTAATAAATAACTACTGGCGATCATGTCCACAGAATATGAGCTAAAGATTAACAATTAATATTACGATTGTTTTTTACCTTTACTGATTTCTATGCCTTCTGAAAAAAATGGTCGTTTCATAATAATATGTATTTAGGTCGTCGATTGTGGCACCCTATAATAATTGGGAGGAAATTGTGCACAGCTTATAATTGCAACCATGCTGTAATAACCAACACCAATAATAAAATATGAGAGCACTAATTAATCTTGTGTACCAACGACCAAGCTGTTGTAGGAAATTTTAGTCAGCACACAGGTTTGGTCTATATCACCTATAATATGAAATATTATAGAACATATATATAGTACTGGTGCTCATAGGATTGGAATGATTGAGTTCAACAATAATCTTATACCTTTTACAATGGTGTGTCATCTCATATGTACAATGGTCATAACAATCAAGGATGTAGCAATAGTTGAGGCATGTTTTCGTATGGTTTGGCGAGATTAGTGGGTTATGCCAATTACTTCTAATCTGCACAATTACATACTATTTAGTGTGACCTGGATATAGCTGAGGGTATTTTTTGTGCAATTTGGACATTTTCTCAAGAGTGAAACAAAATTGGCCACAAACACTTGACTAACAAATAATTTCCAGGAACACTATAGCATATGAAAATATAAATATACCAACACCGTTAACCATTTCATAATATGATATTCTACTAAATTCAGGGATTACCAGTTAATTTCTACTGATTAGCTAGTTTGATTGTAGTTTGGAAGGTTGAAATGGTAGATATATATATGGCTGCGCAAATTTAAACTTCAAACTTGGGTCATTAGGTTACGAATAACTTTGAGACATAAAAAAAGTACATATTAGAAAATGAACATGTGTCTTCTATATTTTTTTAGAGTTCAACAGAATGTATTCAGGTTTTAAAAAAATTTATATACTCACTCTGTCCTTTGTATATGTATTAAAAATTGTATCTAAGAATTTAGGTGACAGAAGTACAATTTTCCATTAAATAGGTGCTCAAATTCAGTAGGTATATGTCTTGTTACTTGACATTTATCATGGAATGTCCGTTAATCCAAGGATGACACACATCTGTACAGTGGGAATTAAATTGATTAGGAAACAATATAAGGGTATATGTGTGTTTTTGTACTGTCAATATTTCTTAATATTTTTAGGCTACCCTATATTCCCAGATG